TCCAGGGATGCTTCCAGGCTTGGCAGCGGCGCTGGGATCGTTGTGTTCACTCCCAGGGGAACTACTTCGAGGGTTATGGATGAATTTAATACCTGAGATAAGTGTACTTTTTTTTTAATATTATAGGCGCAGTCTTGAAACTTTCCGATCGCACCTCGTATGTATGAAGAAAGTAAGGTCTTTAAGCAGTCGCGCACGTGAGTGAGAATTTGACTGATGTGAATGATAATAAGGACTGATAACTGGATTTTGTAAACACGGTAATGAACCTAGAGTTTCATAAACCACGGGAAACGGTTAGTTTAGTGTACTGTTAGCTTCTCAAGAAGGAAGTTAGTTAAGTCCAAAGGAAATAGCGTGTGGGGATATGAACTGGATGAGTAGGTGTCAGATATGGAAGCAAGCTGTTGTTACCTGCAGAGCTATGGAGACCGCCAACAATGTGACAAGCAGAACGTAGTAGGGGTGAGACTCTCCGGCCTCAAGCACGAACTTCAATTGGCTGGCGTTGGCTGTGAGCAGGGCGATGTCCAACAGACCCTGCGTGATGGTCTTCTTTGTTGCGTAGTTGTTGTGAGGGAATTCCTTCGGGCACAATACAACGGAACACGGGATAGTAACGTCTTTAAATGTTCAGAAGACTTACGTGTTACAGACAAGCCACTAATATCACTTCGGTGTGGGTTTTTTTAAGTTGGAGGATAACACGAAATGGGTCTCAAGTAAACTGGGTGAAAGGCTGGATTTAGCTGGAGCAGAATAGGGCGTGGTAGCGGACTCTTGTGACGCGGTAATGAATCTTTTGATTTGATAGGAGACGGTGAACTGTATTACAATTTAGGTGACTTTTCACTTTCTCAAAAGGAACCTGACACGTGGAATCTGCTAATATCTCTTCTACTCTCTGAGCTGTGTGTTACTATGTAAATATTGTAGGTTTAAGTGACATTGCTTTAGCAATAACAACAAAAAGAACTTTTAAAAAGATGCATGGGTCGTACTTGTCAGAGAGATATCATCGAACTTCGGTGCACTGCCACTACTATGAAAGTTGTCACTGTTGACCCCACTTTACAAGTTCGCACAGCGGCCATATTAGTATTTGTCGATGTTGGGAAATTATAAATCAGTGGCAAATCTTAGCCTAGAAGTCAACCCGTGTGGATATCCTCCCAAAATTTGCACAAAATCCCAGGGAATAATAATTAAATTCAATTCATTTATTTAATAATAATAATAATAATAATATAACCATTTTGTGGAACCAACAAGTTAAAACAGATAGAACCATTCCAAATAACAAACCAGATATTATAATCCGAAACAAAAATGGGACTTGTCTCTTAATAGATATAGCTACCTTCTCATTGAAATACAACGAATTTGGAAAGTGAAAGCAAAGTAATCCCAATAATTATAGGAGCAACTGGAACTGTTTCCAAGTCACTCAGAAAATATTTGGTCAACATTCCGGACGAACATGATATCAGGGAACTGCAGAAAACTGCCATTTTAGGTTCATCATACATCACTCGAAAGACGCTGTTGTAAAAAAACAAAATGTATTTCGGAATTCGCAGCTGCACTACGTACCTCAGGGACAAGGTTTGTCTCGGGTACATAGAAGTAAATACCCTATAAAATGGTGAATAGATGGGATAATAATAATACCCTGTTGTGTTAAAAAATAAAACATTTCTATTATTTCTCCAATTTTAGTGGTGTGGCTGTACACTGTTAAGATGCCAGACAGCCGGACCAGAGCTTTCACCACTGCTGTGAAATGACGATACTGAAGTTCTTGAACTGCGTCATCTTCTGATTTAATTTTGTGAGTACAGATTACAAGCTTTCTGTCATTAGTTTTCTACGTTGTCCTGCTATGGTCTGTTGGGTCGAAGTGTTATGCTCCGTACACTACTCAGACACAGGTAGTTTTATTTATTTGCGATAGAAATATAAATACCGAACTGATAATTAAAAAGCCCTTGGGCATATCTTGTTTTTTGTCTTCCTATTACCATGTATCTAGCCACAATGGAATTAAACTATTAGAACGTTTATTTCTTTGTATTTTCTGACTTAAAATTAGAACCAGCTTCTTACTTACAGGTGAACTGGATGCCATTGCAATATAAGTAGGTTCTTTTCTCTTCCCAGGGTAATTAAACACTGTCACAATCAGACTTATTCACGTTATCTCAACAGCCGTTCAGACGTATTCGTCTGCCTGTGACATGTATGAATCTGTTGATAATCAGATAAGTTTAACTGACCTGTATTATATATTTACGTATCTGTATTCAGTTAGATATCTAAACTGTCTGCTGAGATGTTTACTTTTATGACCTTGAAAAATCGATAAGCACAAAAATAATTCACAGTCAGAATTTACGTTTTCGTTCTGAAGTGCGATTATTATATTTTAGGTCATATAGAATAAAATAAGAAAAGAAAAGCACAGTAGCTGGAAACACATTTATAAAATATATGTATTATCTTCCTCTACATATTTCGGCCGTGTTCGTGTGGAGTTTAATAATGGCTAAATGTGTACGTACGAACTCTGCAGTGATATTAATATATGGACCGGAGAGCCATAGAAGAAGAAGAAGTATTTAAGTATTATTAAGATAGATAGGTTATACGTAACAATACGTTCGTATATTTGTCATTATCGTTTTAATAATACTTTAAAACGTATAAAATTCAAGTCGGAACACGTGAGAGACGGAGGTATAGATGATAAAATAATATTAAAATAAATATAAAAAATATTGCTGTTTTCTGGGATTCAGCACCCTGATGATGGAAGTAGTAATTTGCACTGAAACGCCGGTCAGTATCTACCAAATTGTACTTTTCAGCATTTCCGTACTTTCCATCGTGAGAACCTCACATCTCACCGAAACGTATCAAATTTATTTAAGTATTATCAAATTTTAAGAAGTTCTTTTAACATCGTTAAATCGCAAGAATTTCAGGAAGTCAGCAGACATATTGGAATCGCATCAATGTGACAAAATTTTCGGGATGAATCCTGCTTTCTCGGCGCGACCCTGGTTCTTCATGGTAGAAATTCTGAGGCCAATAAATTATACTCCGGCCTCTTAGTGTCGGATTGGAAAGTCATTCCCTCCTTACAACCATTGATTCAATTACGGGCAATGGAAAGTACGAGGGGCAGAGGAAGGAGGCGAAAGTAAAAGACAGGGGAAGAAATTTCAAGGCTCTTTGACATTATTTGATTTATTACCATCTCCGTTTTATTCGACACATTCTAACGGAATTATTGATCACAATACTTTGGCTATAATTCCAATGTGTTCAGCGTAACGACTTTGAATTCAGTCAGGTGGCTTCCACGTTTGTGTTGCAGTTCGAGGTGAAATTGTGGCATATCACCGGGATAAAATGCCAATTGAACTTGACTGCGCAGTAATTATGGCTCGATACCTTAGGAAACGCCACGGTGGTCTAGCGGTTAGAACGCTGGCCTTGTAATCCTGGGGTCTCGGGTTCGATTCCCGGCGGTGCCCGAATTTATAACTTGTGTTGGGCAAGGCCGTGGTCTAGGCAACACGGAGTTTTCCTCCGTGGCATCCCAACAATTACTCCATTCACACAGAGAAGAAGGCAATGGCAAACCACTTCTGGATCACCTGCCAAGAACGTATATGAACAGGTCCCAGTCCGAGAAAAGGATGGAAGGATCCTGTTCATATGGACCTGCCCTCAGACACAACACTAAATAATAATAAAATAAATGCAGTCTCATGGACAGAGGGAAAGTGCAGGTTCGTCCGTGTACCATTTGGCACTTAAAGTCTCGGGACCGACGAATTCAAGTCAGATTTCCTATTTCTGTTTCGCACATTCTGCTGTGTTTATTCTAAGACACAGTAGTGAAATGATTTTGTAGTTAACTCATCTGGTCGAAAGCTCTACCTTTACTTTTAGAATAGGAATATAATTAGAAGTGTCCGTTGGAAATCAACGGGAAAAGCAAAATATGTTTTTTTAATGTTGCACTATTAAGTAAACGTGTTCTTCAGTTGTTTGAAATAACAATTTTTGTAACGTGAGCAATTATATTTAACATTTCTCTAGCCGGCGTAGCTCAGTCAGTATAGTGAATAGCTACGGGCTGGACAGCCGGGGTTCGATCCCCGACGGGGGCAGAGGATTTTTCCTCTAGCCTCTGCGTCCAGACCGGCTCTGGGGCCCACCCAGCCTCCTCTCCAATGGGTACTGGGTTCCTTTCCCGGGGGTAAAGCCGGCCGGGGCGTGATGCTGACCACTCACCCCCATCTAGTGCAGAGGTCAAGGAAGAGAGGAGCTATACCTCCACTCACCCCAAGCGCCTACATGGCGTATAGTGGGACAAACTTTACTTTTACTAGCATTTGAGAAGTGTTTTTCGTCCTGTGCCAAATTTCGAAACAATTATTTTTCCCCCGAGTGTCTGTCAGTGCTAGAGGAACGTTTCATACATCTTTTGTCGTTTACAGGAAAGGCGCTACTGTATAACTTTTGTAAATTCTTTACATAATTATAGGAATATAAAAACCTCGATAGCTTTGCCGGGGCTGTCCCCCTCAAAAGAAACGTTTTAGAATTCACATTTTTTATAAGACGCATCGCTTTATAATTCTTTAGACACTCCTATGATAATTTTGGAAGTAGTAAAGATTTTCGGGCGCTTTTGAGCATTCACTGTCACGTTACCTCGTCAGCCAATCATCTTCAGTCACTTATGTGCTCATTCGTGTGGCTTGTGTATAAAGTATTCATGTACTTGAAGCGTGAATCACACGCCGGCATTCCAGTCCACTACGTTGCCAAACCACAAGAACGGACAGCTGAATCGCGCTATATTAGCATTGGTAGTGGTCAAAGAATCATCAGCCAGGGCAACGTCGCAGTTTGTATCTCTCTCTCTCTCTCTCTCTCTCTCTCTCTCTCTCTCTCTTCGTTCTTGTCCGTCAATTTACGTGTCACAATCATCTTCGGTTTAGGATTAAATTTAAATAATTGGAGTAGACCTGATTGTAATGAAATGATTTTGGTTTAGATGAATCAATACTGTGCCCTTATTATTATTATTTAGTGTTCTGTCTGACGACAGGTCCATATGAACAGGATCCTTCCATCCTTTTCTCGGACTGGGCCCTGTTCATATACGTTCGTGGCAGAGGATCCAGAAGTGGTTTGCCATTGCCTGCTTCTGTGTGTGAATGGAGTAATTGTTGGGATGCCACGGAG